CCAACAGACATTTGCGTTTTGTGCCAAACCTGGTCATTTTGGCACCTGAGGACTACCGGAGGCTGAGGCTCTGTCTACTCCCTTTGCTTCTCCCTGGGGTGGGAGGATCACTATGGGATTTCAAACTGCCCCTCCCCTCGATTCATACACTCACAGATTTCCTGATCCATTCAAGGCACTGGGTTTTTATTTTGGAGTGACGAGGTTGAAGCAGGGCCTTGCTATGTAGCAAAAACTGGTCTTGAACTCACAGCAATCCTCCTGCCTCAGCCCTTCTGCCTCAGCCTCCCAAATACTGCCATTATAAACATACACTGCAATGCCTGGCAAGGTAGTGGTTCTCACCTGGGGAAGGGGGGGCATTCTGCAATGTTTGGAGGCTGCACTGGCTTAGGAAGGACTACTCCTGTCATCAAATGAGTGAAGCTCAGGCACCCACCACCACTGCCTCAGCCCTTCTGCCTCAGCCTCCCAAATACTGCCATTATAAACATACACTGCAATGCCTGGCAAGGTAGTGGTTCTCACCTGGGGAAGGGGGGGCATTCTGCAATGTTTGGAGGCTGCACTGGGTTAGGAAGGACTACTCCTGTCATCAAATGAGTGAAGCTCAGACACCCACCACCCCCCGCCCCGTGCACAAAACAGCCTCCCAACAGAGCCTGTCCAGCCCAGGTGTCATTCGTGCCATAAGAGAAATCCTGACCCAAGGGCCTCTGGTCATGTCTCTGAGGATGGATTAGCACTCGCCTCCAAGCTTAGGGCTGTGTCCCCATGATTAGTCACAGGGATACAAAGACCAAAGCCGTTGCCTCTGGTTTCCATGGCAGATAAATATGGAGATACAAGTTTCAGAAGAAACTACAATACCACATGACTTGTTTTCATGGATCTTCCCACTGGACTGAAGACAGCAGCCACTGAAACCTACTTCCGTGCCACCCCCAGCCCTGGCCAGCATCCAGAACACAGAATGGCGGTGAGGGCAGGTAGCAGAAGGAGAGAGGCAGTGACTGTCATTCTGTGTCCTTGGCACCCAGCGCTGCTCCTGGCATCCAGGAGCCATTAGGCAAATGTCTCTTTGAGTTCATGAGTCAACAGCCAGACTATGAGAACCTAGAGGCCAGGTTCTGTGTCTCTTCTTGTGTCCAGAAGGCTGGGCTAGCATGTGCTCAGTCCCATACATGGCCATCAAGCATCTCTTGCATGCTAGAGCTGTTATCTCCGGGGCAGAGAAGACACACAGGTTGGCAGAGCTACAGCCCAGAAGAAGCAGCCAGCCAGCCAGCTGCCTTGGGTCCTCAGGGAGATGGAGATGGAGGAACTTGTGAGGACAGTCCTGGTCTAGCCAGGGAAACTTGGGACTCTGATCTACTCATTATCTCACCTTGAAATAATGAGTATAATTGATGTAGCATCTCTGCAGCACCTGGGACATGGGGGCCAAGAGTTACTGTACACAGGAGAGAGCACGGGACAGAGCAGCCTCTGGCTGAGAACCACTGCCTTCCCAGGCATGGTGTCTCATGCCTGTAATCCCATCACTTGGGAGGCTGAGGTGGGAAGACTGCTTTGAGTTGGAGGCCAGCCAGGGCTGCTGTGCCTTGCCCCCATCCCAGAATATATCAGAGCTTTGCCTAGTCTGCACATCCTCTTGCTCCAAGTGGATACTGAGTGTCTGAATGCGTCCCCCAAACTTCCCCATTGTGATGGTAAGAAGAGGTGGGGCCTTTAGAGATGACAGGCCAAGAGGGGAGCCCTCATGAACAGACCCAGGAGGGCCAGCAAGTTGACTCAGTGAGTAAATGTGCTTGTTTGCAAGCCTGCCAACCTGAGGATGAATCCCTGCGACCACATGGTAGAGAGAGAGAACTGATTCCCACAAGTTGTCCTCTGATCTCCACACCCATTCCTTAGCACACACACACAAACAAATAATAAATAAGTAATTAATTAAAATAGGAGCTGGAGAAGTGGCTCAGCCACTAAGAGCCCTTACGACTCTTATTTTTCTTTTTGGTCTTTTTGAGACAAGGTCTCCCTATAGCCCCAGTTGGCCTGGAACTCAGAGATCTGCCTGCCTCTGCCTCCCAGGTGTTAGGATTAAAGATAAGTGCCAACACACCCAGCATATTTGTTTTCATTTTATGTGTATGAGTGTATTGCCTGAATGTATGTAAGTGCACCCGTGTTGTACAAAGCCCACGGGGGTCAGAAGAGGGCATTGGATCCCCTTGAACTGGTGTTAGAGATGGTTGTTAGCCTCCATGTGGGCGCTGGGAACTTTGGGAACTCGGGTCCTCTGCAAGAGCGGCCAGTGCTCTTAACCACCATGCCATCTCTCCAGCAATGCCTGTAACTCTAGCTCCAGAGGATCTGACTCCTCTGGCCTCCTCAGGCACCTGCACTCATGTGTACATACCCACACAAAGACACACACACACACACACACTTAAAATAAATCTTTAAAAAATGTAGAACAATAAGTAAAAATAAAAGAGACCCAGATTGCTGGCCAGTACCTTCCAACATATAAGGGAGCCATAACAAGGAAGGGCCCTTCAATGAGGAGCAGACCCTCACCAGACACCAGATCTGTGGGCATCCTGACCTTGGACTTCAGCCTCTGGAACCATGACAGTCAGGTAGCCTGTCACTTGGTCCGTGGTGAGCGGTCCTAGCAGTGTGACTGGGCAGTGGCCTGCCATGGAACGGCATTCTCACCCTGCCTTTGCTCCTGTCACTCCAGTGTGCTGGGCTGGTCCTCACTTGTGATAAGCATACTGCCTGGTGTAGGGGAGGTCTGGGTCTCAGCCTGAGTGCAGAACCCAGAATGCAGTTCCTTGGGCTGCCCAGTGCCCCTGAGAAGCAGGTGCCAGGGTTGGAGAGATGGCTTGCTGGTCAGCCAGTCTAGCCAAAAACAGCAAGCTCAAGGTGCAGGTATGACTTTTCACTTTGAGAGTTTTGAGACAGGGTCTCACTATGTAACCCTGACAGGCCTGGAACTTGCTATGTAGACCAGGCTGACCTACAACTCACAGATCCACCCACCTTTGCCTCCTCAGTGCTGGGATCAAAGGCATGTGCCACCATGCTTGGCTTATTTTTGTGTAATGTCTGTGTGAATGTATGTGTGGGTGCCTAAGTCCAGAAAATAGCATCAGATCTCCTGGAGGTGGAGTTACAGGTTGTTGTAACCAGCCTGACAAGGATGATGGGAACCAAACTTGGGTCCTCTGGAAGAACAGGAAGTCCTCTTAAGCATCTCTCCAGTCCTTATTTTTTTGGTCTTATTGAGATAGGGTCTCCCTGTAGCCCCAGCTGGCCTGGAACTCACTATATAGACCTGGCTGGCCTCAAACTGAGATCGGCCTGCCTCTGCCTCTCAAATCCTGGGATTAAAGGCATGCACCACTACACCCAGCTTATTTTTGTTTTTAAATTAATTTTTTGGGTTAGCATACAAAGTAATGGGTTTTATCATGGCATCTTTCCTCAAAATTTTGTGTGTGTTGTATGTATATGTACATGAACATTCCAGTGCTTCTGTGGCGGTCAGGACAACTTTCAGGAGTCAGTCAGTTCTTTCCTTCTGCCACTTGGGCCCCTCATCAAAGCATCTTCATGTGTCATTTTCTCATTTATTCCTCCATCCTTTAATAGTTTTTTTTTTTCTTTTTGAAACAAGGTATCATGTAGTCCAGGCCGGCCTGAAACCCAACTATGTATTGGAGGAGGATCCCGAACTTCTGATCCTCCATCTCCAAAGCAGTGGGATTATAGACATTTGCCACCGTGCCATTTTATGTGGTACTGGGACTTTGTGAATGTAAATCGGGTACTCTACCAACTTAGCGTCATCCCCAGCCCTCCATTTTACCCCCAATCTGTAGTGCTGAGAAATCAAATCCAGAGCTTATACTCTGGGCCCTTCTTTCCTTTTTTCTTGGAGGAAACAAGATCATGTTATGTAGTCCAGGTTGGCTTTCAACTCCCATTCCTGTTCCCTTAGCCTCCCAAGCACTAGGATTACAGGTATGCATTCCTATGCCTGGCCCTTCATTAAAAACATTTTTGTAGCTGGGAGTGGTGGTGCACTGCACACCTTTAATCCCAGCACTCGGGAGGCAGAGGCAGGCAGATCTCCATGAGTTCAAGGCCAGCCTGGTCTACATAGTGAGTTCCAGGACAGCTGGGGCTACAGGGAGACCCTGTCTCAAAAAGACCAAAAAAAAAAAAAAGAAAAATTTTTTTTTGTAAATTTATTTAATGTGAATGAGTACTTTGTGTGCAAGTGTGTATGTGTGTTATTTGAGTACCTGGTGCCCAGGGAGACCAGAAGATGCTGGATTTCCTGGAACTGGAGTTATGGCCTGGATTCACTATGACCAGGCTGTCCTTGAACTCACAGAGATCTGCCTGTCTCTGCCTCCCAAGTGCTGGGATTAAAGATGTATGCCACCATTCGCCATCATCTGAATTCTATCAGATGTCTACCTAGAACCACTGCATACCTTTGCTCACCAATAACTCATGAAAGTATCTACTGTACGTTCCTCATTGAAATGTATGGTTTTCTTCTTTCCTGTTTATAGTCGTTTCCTTTGTCCAAATGTGCTAGTAACTGCTTGGCTAGGCTTTGTTTAAGTATATGCAGAGTTCCTCAGACAGGAAGCACTCTGTAGAGAAAACAGCCAGATGTTTACCATTAGGATGCTACACTGCCTCAGATAACAGAAGCAGCCATTGCTAGGGCTGACAAAATGGCTCAGTGGATAAAGGTGTTCGTCGCTTTGCTGCCGAGCCTGGAATGCATTCGGAGAGAACCAACTCCACACATTCTGAACAGAATGGACTGCTGCAAGTTTGCAACTAACCTCCATACAGTAAGTGTAAAACATAAAAATAAGGTAGCAATCACACCAGCTTAGAAAGAAAAACAAGAACATTTTGAAAGCTACTGCAATGGTTTTATTAAACACGAACACACTTATTTTATGTGAAATGCAGTAAGTTTCTTCTCTGCCCTGTGAAACTGCACTCCAGAACATGTTCACATAAGCCCACTTCCAGCCACAGGAAGGGGAAGGAAAGAAAGTGCAATTCTGAAAATATTGCCACAGGCTGATTGTGGGGATGCACACCTTTAATCCCAGCACTGGAGACCAACCTGGTCCACACAGTGAGTTCCAGGCCAGCTGGGAAACAAACAGAAACTAGGCAGAAGGAGGTGGCTCCCTGGCTGTCTGCCCACAGGCCCAATACTGCTTATGACCAACAGGAAACAGTTCTGCTGTGCTCTGGAAGTGCTTCTTCACCCCCTCCATCCTGGGGTCCGAACTGTCTTACTTGGAGTTTCTGTTAAGAAATCCTACCCTGATTTACCTCCTTGTCAGTTTTCTCTCCTTTTGAACTAAGTGGCAAAGCAGGAGCGCAGTGAGTTTCCACTGGGACCGTCTACAGAGGGAACCTTTCTAAAGCCACAAGCCAAATGCACAGCTGCAGACAACAGACTCTGAAAACAGGTCCAGCTGGAAATACCTCCGTACCAATGAGACTCAGTCACTCCGCATCTGTGGATTTAAAGTGATCATCATCCACAGTAGAGTAAATGTGCCCCTCGTTGCTCAGGAAATCCACTGCTTGCCTAGAAAGAGGAAAAGGGGGGATCATTTTCAAACCAGTCCCTTTTAAATATGGCGCAGTAAGCAAACACCACTTATTTCCACACTGTATCTCAGCTAAGAGTTCAGTGATTTTGTTCAAAGAAGCCTCTTACAGAGAAAAATGTCAGTTAAGACCACAGGACTGAGAATCCCCAGACTGGCCACTAGGGCTGCCTTGGGTCCCTTTCTCAAATTGTGGAAGGCAAGATAGAAAGAGGACCTAACTTCAAACACTAAACGCAGTGAGACAAAGCCCCGAGCTGTGGCCAGCCTGTACACGTAGTGTACTGGGAACAACTCCCCGTCTCTGAGTCAGGCCTCTCCACCAGACTGAAACTCTCTTTGCTCCCCCTCTGGACAGGAAAGAGAATGCAGAACAGTATGACACCTTCGAATCCTTCAGGTCCTCAGAGTCCGTATCAGTAAGTCAGTATTTACCCAGCATCTCAGTGATTCTGTGCCTCCTCCCCACAGCAACCGAGAATGTCTTTCTTCCCTAGGCCTACAGGTCTGAACTGTGAGTACCACCTATCTGTAGTCCATCTCGGATCTCAGTTTGACAGAGAACCAGGAACCTGCCTGTCTGAAATGGAAGCAGGCCCAGAACAATCAATGAGGATGCAAGAGCAATGCCTACCGAGTTCTCTAAATCTCTTCATAGCTCATCCACTCCTCAGCAGCTGCAATCCACAGCTTTCCCTTTTTCTTTTTGTGTGGAGACAGGGTTTCATGCAGTCAAGGTTGGCCAGTTTTACTTTTTTTTGGTATTTTTTTGAGACAGGGTCTCCCTGTAGCCCCAGCTGGCCTGGAACTCGCTATGTAGATCAGGATAGCCTCAAACTCAGAGATCCGCCTGCCTCTACCTCCCAAGTGCTGGGACTAAAAGTGTGTGCCACCGTGCCCAGCTCCAGCTTTACTTTTAAAACTCACTTCTCATTACCAGGAAAGTGTGGACAGAGGAAGTGGGCATAATTCTGAAACTCTTAAGTCATGGTATGCAAACACTTACTTGATTGAGGCTACAGGCATGTGCTGGAGCTGTTTCCTCAGATCCTGAAAGTTCAATCCTTCAGGTCTTGGGCAAGCCTTAATCAAATTCAGCACCTGGAATTCAAAGTAGAAAGGCTTTAGCAACTACTCTGGATCAGTTTGCTTATGTAAACCTGAGTCCTAAGCCAAGTGGATCTTTTGTTTTTGTTGTTTTTTTGGGGGGTCATTTTCAGCTGTAGCCCAGCTTTCCTGGAACTCACTGCGTACACCAGGTTGGCCTTGAACTCACAGAGATCCGCCTGCCTCTGCCTCCTGCATGCTGGGATTAAAGGCATGCACCCCCAAGCCCAGCCAGGTGGATCTTTGTGAGTTCAAGGTCAGCCTGGTCTACATAGCAAGTTCCAGGACAGATGGAACCATAGGGAGACCCTATCTCAAAACAAAACCACCACACCCCAAAAAAACCCTCCCAAACACAGGACTTCACTGTCTATACTTTGCATTTCTGGAAACATTCAGCACTTTACCTGGTTTTGGGTCACAGTGAGGCCATTTGCTGGCATGAAGCTATTCCCACTGAAGTTTCCTGAATCACTTATTCCTGGGTTGCTGAGAGATGTTCTCCCTGTTGGTGGCTGAATTAGAAAATGAGTTCAGAACATTAGAAAATCCATCAAATTAAACCCATTTCAAATAACTTGTTAGTAAGCAGCTATGAAACAATTTAAGCAGTTTTCCCAGTAACTGTTTACACAGAAAGGTCAAATACTCTTCCCCTCTGAAGTACATTAGAAAAAGAAAGATGATACTCCTGGTTCTCCATGGTGTAAGGAGCCAGGGGAGAAAAGAGCACTGAGAAGAAAGTTACCCAGAGAACAGCTATAAAGGTTTCCTTGCAACTCAGTCATGAAGCACTTACTGTCACGGAACACTGCTGGGAGAGGAAAGGACTGTCTGAGGAAGCAGATTACTGGCAGGCTTGCCTCGTATGCCCAAGGCTCTGGGTTCAATTCCCAGTACTACAAAAAAAAGTTCTTAAAAAAAAATGGGGTGGGCTCAGTCAGACGTGGTGGCACACACCTTTAACCCCAGCACTCGGGAGGCAGAGGCAGGTGGATCTCTGTGAGTTCGAGGCCAGCTGGGGCTACAGGGAGACCGTCTCATGAAGACCAAAAAAAGGAGGGGAGGGTTCTTTAGTTACTCCTATCTGCCCACCCACTATTTGGATTCTCCCAAATACACCTCTGAAGCTATTCCTACCAAAGTCACCAATGATTTTTCAGCTACTCAACAACCTTTTAAATTTTCTATTATTTTATGTGTGCATAATCTGCTTGTGTGGGTACACATGCCACAACACATATGGAGGCCAGAGGAGAACTTTCTGGAGTTGGTTCTCTCCTTCCAACTTAATGTGGATGGAGTCACATGGATTCCAGGGACTGAACTCAGGTTTATTGGGCTTGTGCTGCAAGTGCTTTTTACCTGCTGAGCCATCTGCCAGCCCTCATCACTGACCTCTCAGAAGCAGACACTACCGACCATTCCCCTTCAATGTCTCCGCTAAGCTTCACATGATATTCTTACTTGTTCTCAACCTCTATCTTCTCAGTATCCTTCACTGGCTCTTTCCCAAAGGCTGCCAGTTCCCTGAGGATTTCATTGCAGACCTCTGCCTAGGCTACAAATCCTCACTACTGGCAGCTACCGAGGTATGAGACTTTAATCCTTTCAAACTTGTTTGCCCTGAATTATCTTGGCTCATAGCAAACCTATGCCCAGATCTAGTCCTGTAGATCCCAGTCATCTTTGCATTTCTACCTTCACTCTCCAGAACTATTAATTCCTACCACCAAGTAATCAAGTTGATCCTCCTCACCCTAGTCTCCTAACCTTTTGAGCTCCAACCTCCCTTTCCATTGCTACAATTCATCAACTCCTATGATCGTGTCACCACTCTACCTAAAACCCTCAAGTGGCTCCCTGTAAAAATACAAAACATCTAGACATTCAAGTATCCAAGAACTGCCAGGTATGGTAGTACATATCCTTACTCCCTGCACTCAGAGGCAGATTTCTGTGAGATAGAGGGCTAGCCTGGTCTACACTGTCAGTTCCAGGCCAAAAGTAAAAACAAAACGACAAAAAAGCATTCAAGACTTAAAACTGGAAACCAAAGTTGTATTTTATCTTTTTTTTTTTTTTTTCCCTGAAACAGACTATGTAGCTAGCCCAGGCCAGCCTCTAACTAACTTGAGATCCTCCTGCCTCAACCTCCTCAGTGCTGGGATTCCACGTAGTCTGTCACTGTGCTCTGCTGTACTGTTTATTTTTTGTTACATTTAAATGTGTGTGCCTGAGTGCCACAGGTGAAATGGAGGTCAGAGGACAGTGGGCTAAAGTTGTCGTCTTCTCCCACCATATGGGCCTGGGGATCCAGCTCAGGTCAGCAGGCTCAGTGGTAGGCACCATCCCTGCTGACCACACCCTGACAGTGTCCAAACCAAGCTAGTCCTTTTCTTTCTTTTGGCTTTGCTTGTGTATATATTTAAGTGTACATATGTGCACGTGGAGGCCAGAGGACAATCCTGATGGTGGTTCCAGTGTTGTCCACTTTTTTTCCCCTTTTCTTTTGAGACAGTTTCTCCCTGGCCTGGAACTTGTCAAATACTCTAGGTTGGCTGGTCAGTTAGCCCCAAGGACCTGCCCTTTCCCAACACCCTAGCATTGTGATTACAACAAGAAGTCATCAAGCCCTGCTTTGTAAACATTTTTAAAGGATTTATGCATGTGTGTTGGGGGGTGTACACACATGTCTGCACACATGTGGATCTGGGGATCAAACTCAGATCCTGAAGCGCTTTACCTAAAGCATCTTCCCAGCTGCTTGGCTTCAGCTTTTGACCCATTACCAATTATTACACCAACTGCACTGTTTTTTACACAAGTCCCTTAGTCTTTGCACACTGCCCGGTGGACAGTATTTTCTGTTTTATCTATTAGACTAAACGACAGAGAGGACTGGAGAGATGGCTCAGTGGTTAGGAGCATGAACAGCTTCTGCAGAGATCATGAGTTCAGTTTTCAGCACCCACATCAAACAGCTCATAACTGGCTGTAACTCCAGCTCCAGGAGATTCAAAGCCTCTGGTCTCCTTGGGCACCTGCACTCACGTACGTATCCTCACAGATACAGAAGCATACACGTAATTATAAATAAAAATAAATCTTGGAAAAAAAGAGAATGACAGACGCTCACGTATACTGTGTAATCACAGCACATGAGAACAGGGTGGAACGCATTAGGAGAACTTCTATCCAGGTAAGAGATCATCCAGTCCACAAATGTTCACCAATGTCCACTGTTCTGAGGTGTTTTTATAATGCAATTGGTTGAAAGCAAAATACTATCTGTTTGGAAGCTTTTTCTCAGTATAGACTAAAAATCCCGGAGTTGTGAGCACAGCCGTCTAGGGATCAGAAGGAACTACTAGCTCTTAGAGAAACATGAGTGTCCAACCTAGACTCAAATACAGTGGCAGAGCTCATGGAGAAATCTCTTGAGGACCTGGGTAATGCCTTTTTGAGGCTCAACATTCAAAATTTCAATGTGATAAAAACTAGAAGAGTAGAGCAACCTATTGGGCTGGAGATGGCTTTGTAGTAAGAGCCCTTCTGCTCTTCCAGGACTTTGGTTCAGTTCCCAGCACCCATACCAGGCTGCTCACAATTATCTCTAACTCCAGCTCCAGGGGATCCAATGCCCTCTTCTGGTCTCTGCAGGTATAGCACACACCAGGCATACATAATAAACATTTAAAAAAAACAAAAACACTAAAGGGGGGCTGGAGAGATGGCTCAGCGGTTAAGAACTCGGGCTATTCTTGCAGAAGACCCAGGTTCAAATCCCAGCACCCACATGGTAGCTAACAACTGTCTATAACTCCAGTTTCAGGGGATCTGACAGCCTCTTCTGTCCTCCGAGGGCATCGCACGACACAGGTGCACTTAACTTACCTGCAGGCAATACACGCATACACATAAAATAAAAATAATAAAAAATTTTTTTTTTAAAAAAGCACAACAATGCAGAGTGCAGCTGCTCACCGGGTTGTTGGATTTGCTCAGCATCATGTGTGCGTTGACCACTTCAAGAATATGTGTAGTAAACTCATTCATATCTTCCAGAGGAATAATCTTGAAGGCTACCAGGCTCTTTTTGTTCTACAAAAGAGGAAAATGGAACCAAAGGATGAACATATTCAAGTTAATTTCAGGCCAAAACACTGGAATTACAGATGTGTACTACCAAGACGTGTTCCATGGGTTCTGGGACCCCAAATCAGGTCTCCACATTGGTACAGCAAACCTTACCCACTAAGCCATCTCCCGGTCCTGTAGCTATCATCCTATTTGGACTTTACCTGAAAAGACCTGAGGTGGCCAGCCACTTTCACATATGTTTCTGGAGGAACCACAGTGTTCTCACCACTGGCATCCTAACAGAAAAATATAAACATGTCACAAAATATTTATTTATTTATGGATAGGGTCTCATATAACCCAGGCTTGTCCTCAAATTCAATATATACCAAGGATGACTGTGAACTTCACATCCTCTGGTCTCTACCTCCCAAGTGCTGGGATTAAAGGCATGCAGCCACTATGCCTGGCCTTGCACACATAACACTTTAAAAATTTTTGGGGGCTGGAGAGATGGCTCAACAGTTAAGAGCTGATGGCTGGTTTACTCTTATAATCACAGTGCTCAGGAGGCAGAGGCAAGAGCCCCAAATTCCAAGCCAGCAAAGAATACAGTGAGACCATCTATAAAAATATAAAAAGCCAGGCGTGGTGGTGCACGCCTTTAATCCCAGCACTTGGGAGGCAGAGGCAGGAGGATCTTTGTGAGTTCAAGGCCAGCCTGGTCTACATAGTGAGTTCCACGTCAGCTGGGGCTACAGGGAGACCCTGCTTCAAAAAAAAAAGTGGCATCTCAGTGCTTACCAAGTCTGCACTTCCTGCTGGTATTTTGCCTGGTCTTCTATGAATTACTTATCTTTCTTTACCCATTTTTCTAAGATATAGGGACATTTATTTTAAAATTTATTGTTTTTTATTTTATGTGTATGTGTGTATTGCCTGCATGTAGGTAAGTGCACCCGTGTTATACAATGCCTGCGGAGGTTAGAAGAGGCTGTCAGATCCCCAGGGACTGGAGTTACAGACAGTTGTTAGCTGTCACGTGGGTGCTGGGATTCGAACTCAGGTCTTCTGCAAGAACAACCAGTGTTCTTAACCGCTGAGCCATCTCTCCAGCCCATGCTGTGCAGTTTTTATTAAAACATGTTTTCAATCTATCAGTACGCTTCTCACTCATTTAAATACAATTCATTCATTTATTTAAGGCCCATTGTGTGAATGCACTGTTCTAAGTGCTGGAGATGGAGTGGTGACCAGGATAAAAGTCTTTTCTTAGAACTTACCTTCTATGCTCTCCTGTCACTTATCTTTAAATTGTACATGGTATTTTGGGGAAATTTAAGGCTTTTATTTTATGTAGTGAAATCTATTTAACCTTTATGGGCTTTACCTTTGGTATCTTATCTTTTATATTAAGAAAAACCTCCAAAAGATTAAAGTTGAACATCCAGAGTTCCAAAGTAACCCCACCTTGAACCAAAAGCAGTCACTTACATCTGTGTCAACCCACTGGCGAACATCCATGGGTACAGCTGTCATATCATCTATTTTGTAGACAATGTTGGTTGGTGCCTTCTCTGCATGTCTGATTATTCCCACAATAATGACCTGGTTAGGAAAACAAAACAAAGAACAGGATTTGGTTTTCCTAGGAATCAAGGCAATATATACCCAAGTGTAAATGACTAAGGAGCCAGCAGAAGAGGGCTTAAATCCCCTGGAGGTGGAGTTACAAGCAATTGTGACCTGCTGATGTGGGTACTGGGAACAGAACTAGGGTCCTCTGGAAGAGTAGGAAGTGTTCTTAACTGCTGAGCCATCTCTCCAGCCCCACCCCCTTACATACTTTTAAATGCAGCAAGATTTCTTTGTTCCATTTTTCTTTGGGCATACATGTATGCCTCTGTGGCACATGTGCATGTGAGTGGGAAGGTGTGTGTGCCTGTACAGAAGCTGGAGGATTGGGTGTCCTACTCTATCATTCTTCAGTTTACTCCCTTGAGACAGTGTCTGTCACTGAACCCAGAGCTAGGCCAACACCCTGCAAACTCCAGGTATCCTCGTCTCTCACACCCACAGCTCTAGGGTTACAGGCATACAGGGAGCAGTGCCTGGTGGTTTACATGGATCTTGGGAGCCAAACTCTGTTTCTCTTACTTACACATCAAAGCACTTTTTCACAGAGCCATTTTTTCCAGCCTCTTATTTCTTCTAACAAAACGGCTCTCCTGCAAAGTTTTTTACGTACCTGTGAAATCTCAACATTCCCAATTTTGAAAACTTCATCAGTCAGAGTAGCAGAAAGCAGCTGAGATATGGTACAGGGCACTATGTGCTGGGCTCGGGCTCTCTGAAAAGTACACACAGAATCAAGTGAGAAAAGAGAGCACTCATTTAGTCCTTGTCATTCATCAAGCACTCTGAATATGCCACAACACTGAATTTTCAAAACCACATCGTCCTTGCTTCACAGGAATGTGAAGATCAGAAACATTTAAAATGCCACTTTTGAATTTAATTCAAACCCACATTCATCCGTGACGTCAGAACGCCTGGTCAATAGGTAAGTTTGAGCAGCACTGGATTCACCAAAATGCCAGAGTAGGGAAGAGTGGAGGCAGGATAACCTGCTGTCAGACAGACCTTCAAGAAGACATCCCAGCTGGGCTGGAGAGATAGCTCAGTGATTAAGAGCACTGACTGCTCTTGCAGAGGACCTGGGTTCAATTCCCAGCACTCACAGGGTGGCTAACAACCATCCATAACTCCAGTTCCAGGAGATCCAATGCCCTCTTCTGATCTCCTCGGGCACTGCCACAACACAGGTGTACTTACACACATGCAGGCAATACACTCACATACATAAAATAAAAATAAATATTTAAAATAATGTAAGTGGTGTGTGGTCATGCATGCCTATAGTCCTAACACTTGGGACGTAGAGACAGGAGAATCATGAGTTCAGGGCCATCCTTGACCACGTATCAAGGTCAAAGCTAGTCTGACCTCAAAATTTTTTTTAATTAATAAGCTGGGCATGGTGGCACACGCTTTTAATCCCAGCACTTGGGAGGCAGTTCAAGGCCAGCCTGGTCTCTATAGCCAATCCAGGCCAGCTGGGGCTGCAGGGAGACCCTGTCTCAAAAAGACCAAAATAATAATAATAATAATAAAATAAAAAATAAAAAGTGGGTAGTGTGGCAGATCACTTTAGTCTCAGCATTCAGAAGTCAGAGGCAAAGGGATCTCTGTGAGCTGTAGCCTCACCTACATATCAAGTTCTAGGCTAGGTAATGCTACCTGGTGAGACCCTGTCCCAAAAATAAATAGGCGGCTGGGAGAGACGGCTCAGTGTTTAAGAGCACCAGCTGCTCTTGCAGAGGACCCATGGTGGCTAACAACCCATGACTTCAGTTCCAGATCCTTCACCCTCTTCTGACCTCTGGGGACATTGCATGGCGCAGGTGCACTTACATACATTGAAGCAATACACTCACACAAAATAAAATAAAAAATTTAATTGTTAAAAGGGGCCTGGAGCAATGACTGGGCGGGTAAAAGTGCTTGCTGCCAAGCTTGAAGACTCGAGCTCGACCTCAGGACCTCTCTATGGAAGGAGAAAAGCGACACCCAACAAGTTGTCCTCTGACCTCCACCCGGGCCCGCGGCATGCGCGCTCAAACACACTTAAGAAAACCTAAGTTGAAAATAATAAATGTACAGCACCTCCCTATGCGAGCCACAGCCAAGTCAGCCACAGCTTTCGCGCTAGCTTTTGTTCAACACCCCGCCCCCACGCCCTCCCTTTTCCGGACGTGGCGAAGCGCATCAAAACAGCAACTTTGCACCTACAGATCTCTTCTCTGCCTGCGACGGGGTCGGCGACCCGAAGCCCCCAGGGGACTGGGTATAGCCGCTCGCTCCGCCGTAGCCCGCGCCGCCATAGCTCGCACCGCCGTAGCTTTCGAATCCACCTGGTTGAGAACAAGGGTCGTTGAGGCTCCGCAGCCTCACCGCCGCCCACCGCCTGGGCTGCCCATACCGCAGACACCGCCCTCGGGCTCCCGGGCCTCCCCACCGCCCCGGCCTACCGCCGCCCCCGCCTTGTCCTCCTCGCAGCCCCAGTATTACTATTCCACATCGTGGCCGCTCCGTCCGCGCGCTCCGCGACGTCCTCCGAAGTGTCGTGGCCACTCTGTAGCTACTTTGCACTGGCGCCACAAGCTTCTTCCCGCGAAGGACGGAGCCAATCGGCGTCTAGAACGTTTCTGGCTTCAGCCAATCAATGTTCACGGATCTGACGCTTATTCCGGTATCTAGGACCTGCTGCGGAAAAGCGCACTGCCCAGAGTAGGGACAGAAGCCTGGGTGGCCATCTTTACTGAGGGCAATTTCCCCTCCTGGCGAAGAAGTGGACTGTGAGATGTTGATAGGATGGTGTTTCAAGTAAACAGCCAATTAAAAACAGTATTTCCGCAAGCCATGTAATCCAACCCCCATCAAGGCGGACACTGTACGTCACTTCCTTTGATCTGCGCCCTATTATTTCCGCCAAACGGGCTGTTTTTAAGACGTCATTTAAAGATCTGGGGAGGTGGTGAAATTGTTTGGAGCTGTTCTCGCAAAGGACCTGGGTTCGGTTCCCAGCACCCGCAAGGCGTCTAACAACTGTCAACTCCAGTTTCAGGGGGTCCTACACACTCTTGCATGCACGCAAAACACACTAAGATGGTTTTTAAAAAAAGACGCTTAGAGTTCAAGGTTAGCCTGGTCTACGAAGCAAGTTCCAGGCTATTTGGGGCTTCAGGGAAACCCTGTCTCAAAACAAATTAATTAAAATAAAATACTTACCAAGCAAGAGTGACAGTCTGAATTTGATCCTAGAATCTACAAAAAGCCAGATGGGATTATACATCTGTAATTCCAGCACACCTGTGGCAAGATGGGAGCCTGAGTCAGGAGAGTCACCCTCCAGCAGGCCTGTAGTACACAGAGCTACAGAAATAAGGAGAGGTCCTGCCTCAGCAAGAACCAACTCCTGAAAGTTGTCCTCTGAGTTCCGCATATGTGTAGTAGCATAACACACTTGCACTCACAAAGTAAAAATTTTAGAAAAAAATTTTAAACGTTTATTAATACTTCAATGGTTAACCAAATATAGTCCATGGGTTCCTAACCCATTTTAAGTGCTTTTTCTGAAATTACAGGCACTTTTTAACACTTAACATTTATTATTTTTTAATATTTTATTATTTTTATTTTATGTGTATGAGTGTACTGCCTGCATGTAGGTAGGTGCACCCTTATTGTGCAATGCCCTTGAAGATCAGAAGAGTGTCAGATTCCCCTGGAACTGGAGTTAAGGACAGTTGTTAGCTGCCATGTGGGTGCTGGGAATCAAACCCAGGTCCTCTGCAAGAGCAACCAGTGCTCTTAACTGCTGAGCGGTCTCTCTAGCCCTATACATTTACTTTTTAAAATATTTTATTACTTTTGGCTGGGTGTGGTGGCATATGCCTTTAATCCCAGCACTTGGGAGGCAGAGGCAGGCGGATCGCTTGTGAGTTCAAGGCCAGCCAGGTCTACAAAGCGAGTTCCAGGCCAGCTGGGGCTACAAGGAGACCCTGTCTCAAAAAGAACCCCCCCCAAATTTATTACTTTTAATTAATATTGCATGAGTGTTTTGCCTGCATGTATGTAAATGCATCCATGCGTGCAATGCCCACAGAAACCAGAAAAGGGTGTCAGGTTCCCTGGAACTGGAAATAGGGACAGTTGTTAACTGCCATGTAGGTTCTGGGAATCAAACACTGGTCCTCTGGAAGAGCAGCAAGTATTCTTAACACGTGAGCCATCTTTCCAGTCCTATATTTTACATTTATTAACTCGATTTTTGTGAGATATGTAGGTACTAGTCTTGCCCCAGTTTTACAGATGAGACAACTGAGGCACAGAGGGGCTAAGTTGTTGGAGTCTTCATTTGAACATAGGAAGACAGAGTCTATCAACCAATGTAGTCACTAGAACTTGGTCACACATTGAAATGTCAACTAGGGTTCTGTCAAAAAATACTGAATCTGGGGCTGAAGCGATGGCTCAGTGGTTAAAAGCACTGTCTGCATCCAGGCACAATGGCACATGCTTTTAATCCCAGCACTCGGGAGGCAGAGGCAGGCGGATCTCTGAGTTTGAGGCCAACCTGGTGTACATAGTGAGTTTCAGGCCAGCTGGGGCTACAGGGAGACCCTGTTTCAAAAAGGCCAGAAAAGGAAAGAAAAGAAAAGAACTGATGGGCTGGAGAGATGGCTCAATGAATAAGAGTGCTCTTCCAGAAGGTCCAGTTTCAATTCCCAGCATCCACTGGTAGCTAACAACTGTCCTGTCGGGAGCCGCTAATCATTGAGCTGTGTCAGGCTTGTTTACTGAGTGTGTGTTATGCACACCAGTATCTAATCTGCCTTATTAGGAGGAATATGTTTATATGGAGAGCCTCACAACACCTGCAATAGTGGAAGCCTTTGATCTGACCGCTCCCTGACCCTCAGATACAGGTGGGGAAAAGCAGCAGTTGTAACTAATTGAGTTCTTCTGTATAAAAAGACAGTACTGAAATAAATCGAGGCTGCAGTATTGACTGTGAGCCCTCCCAAGCATCTTTTCTGTCTCCTTTCCTTTCTTTCAATCCTCACTCCCCCTTTCAGGTACTGTCCGTTTTGGCCGGCTGGCACCGGCACTAACTCCAGTTCCAGAGGATCCTATGCCCTCTTCTGGCCTCTGTGGGCATTGCATGACCGTGGTACACACGTACATGCAAGCAAAGCATTCATTATATATATTAAATAAATAAATAAATAAAAAATAAGATAGAGAACAACAGAGGAAGACACCTTTCATCTCCATGTGCGTACACAGACACAGAGAGACAGACACACACAGCATCACAAATCACCAAGCTTAGAGGTGTGTGTGTGTGTGTGTGTGTTTTATGGTATACTATGAAGTCTCTCAGATACTGTCATTAGGTATTTATTCCTAGTGGGGTATGGTGCTATATGCCTATAATCCCAGAAATTGCTGAGGCAGCAGGATCTTGAATTTGAGGCCAGCCTTGGATACATCATAGCAAGACCCTATCCCAAGTATCCACCCTTGCCCCAGGGCTGGAGAGATGCTCAGCAGTTAACAGTACTGGCTGCTCTTGTAGAGGATCCAGGGTTGGTTCCCAGCACCCTCATAGCAGCTAACAAGCATCTATAACTCCAGTTCCATGGGATCCAACAACCTCTTCTGAACTCCATGGGCACTGCATGACACAGGTGCACTTACATGTATATATAGACAATACACTCATAAAAAATAATAAATATAACATTTAAAAAAAATTCCCCCAAGTGGCAAAAAAGTTTACCTTTTCGGATCATTCTTTCCCTACCAATTATTTTACGGCCTTTTCACCCTCATGCTTCAAAATCTTCAGTGGCTCTCGATGACTGAAAGGAAGATGTTCAAGATCCTCAGGATGGCATCCCCATTGGAACCATCTCAGTTCTAAGTTTATATTTAGCTCTGTGAAATCTGTCTAATGTCCATTTCTCTCCCTAAACTATGAACCATCTTTGTTATTGTTTCTCTAGAATCTGGCACAGTGTCTGGCACCCAGGAGTTCCTTCATATTTGTTGAATGAGCGAGTGAATGAGTTTAATGAATGAATGCAGAAGTGTGACATACAGTGCTTTGGAGCACTGGGCTGGGCAGTAGCATCTGTAGATGCTATCTTCAGGCTGTCAATCCTGCTCTTGCAGTAAGCCCTCTGTGGACTTGAACCTCAGATCTACCACAACTGCAGTCTGGCTTCCCAAAGGTCACTGGTACGTGGACCCATTCTCACAAGGACTTTGCCACAGGTGTTGACTTTATATGCACAGGTAAGGTTCTAGGACAGAAAGGGCTATGAGGGAAATGAAAGTATAAAGAGTACTTTTATCGGCTTCTTTTCCCGTTTCCAAAATATAAAAAATAAAAATAAATAAAAATAAGATATTTTTAAAGGGTTAATTTTATTTCTTTTTTTTGAGACAGGGTCTCCCTGTAGCCCCAGCTGGCCTGGAACTCACTATGTAGACCAGGCTGGCCTTGAACTCACAGAGATCCACCTGTCTCTGCCTCCTGAGTACTGGGATTACAGGCGTGTGCTATCACACCCAACCTGAATAAAATATTTTTTAAAAAAGTTAGGGGTAGCTAGTGAGACTCTGTAAATAAATAAATAAATAAATATATAAATAAATAAGTAAATAAATGAGAAAAGAAAGCAAGGCTGTGTACAGGCCATAGGAGCAAGTCAAAAAGCATTTCCTCCATGGTCTCTGCTTCAGTTTCTGTCTCCAGGTTTCTGCCCTGGCTTCCCTCAAAGATAAAATGTGATCCAGATGTGTGAGCCAAATAAGCCCTTTCTTCCCCAAGGTGCTTTTGATCAGTCTTTTTATCACAGCACCAGAATCCAAACTGGGACACCATCTTAATGGCCCTTTTTTTTTTTTTTTTTTTTTTTATTTATTGAGACAGGATCTTACACTGTCACCTTGTTGTCCTCAAACTTGTGGCAATCCTCCTGCCTCAGATTTCTGAATGCTGGCATTATAGAAATGTGCCACCATGCCCAGCTTTCTTGTCAGTTTGACCTGACATGCTTTTCTGTAAAAAATGATGGAGATTGTCTGAAAATTACAGTTGCCGCACGTCACATACATACTTGAGGCAATTTGAAGAGGGGGCTGTTTTATACATAAGAAAACAAAGTCCAGCAACCTGAGATGGCTCAGGGGATAAAGTGCTCGCTCAACAAGAACAAGAACCAGAGTTGGGATCCCTAGAATCCACATGAAAGCGAGTGTGGTGGTTGCTATAATCTCAGCACTGTAAATATAGAGCATGGATGTCTGGGGTAAATAAACAGGAGAGCTATTGGGAAAGACACTTGTCAACCTCTGGTCTACACATACCCCCCATACACATGCATGTGTGTACACACACGTACCCATATACATTTGAACACACATGCAAACATAATACATACACATGCATATGCCCAAAAAAGAAAGAAAAGAGAGAAAGTCCGAACCATGTGGATTTTCCATTCTGTTTACCTTTCTAGCCAACCCAGCAGAGATCTAAACAGCTATTTAGTCTCAGCCCAGGAAAAGCCAAGGTAATAAACAGGCTGCCTTCTACACACACAATGATGCCTTAAGAGTTGGTGGTGGCCATGGTAATGGGGCCTTGTGGGCACACTGATTAAAAAGCTGAAATATTTAAGAGAAGCCCCATACCCAGCCAGAAGATGGGTGGGGCTCCAGTATCCCCTCTGGATGAGCTTATGAGGAGCTCCCTGCACCTCCAACCCTCATTCCAGTTCAAAGTCTAGCGGTTGCCTACTTCCTGCTCAACCCTGGGGGAGATGGCAGCCCAAGGATCCTTGACTGGCCTCCTTCCCCACTAGTTCCTGGGTCACCTTCCAAGCTGACCTCAGCATGCCCTAGACATTGTTTGGTACTTCCAAATCAAGCAACCGGCTCTGACACAAGAAAATCACTTGTGGGACTGGAGAGATGTCTCAGAAGTTAAGAGCACTGACTGCTCTTGCAGAGGACCCGGGTTTGATTCCTAGCACCCACATGGTGACTAACAACATTTGTAACTCTTGGGGCATTGCATGACGCAGGTGCACTTACACACATACATTTATACACATAATAAATAATAAATAAAATAGTAAAAAAAAGAAAAAGTCACACTGCTTTACAGTCATGAAGGGAATGGCAATCAGCCTCTGAGGTCTGTTTTCTTTCTGTTCTGATGCCCTCTTCCTCCAGAATGACTTTGGGCTCTAAACAGGGACAGAGCTTAGCACTTTGTTATTTGAACACTGCTGCTGACACACCGCTCACAGGATGAATCTGTACCATTCTTAGGTTCTCTCTTTCATTTTCTTTTTTTCAGTCTTTTGTTGTTTTGAGATAGGGTCTCCCTGTAGCTCCAGCTGGCCTGGAACTCACTATATAGACCAGGCTGGCCTTGAACTCACAGAGATCTGCCTGCCTCTGCCTCCTGAGTTGGGATTAAAGGCATGTGCCACCACGCCTAGTGCCGGTGCCAGCTGGCCAAGATGGACAGTACCTGAAAGGGGGAGTGAGGATTGAAAGAAAAAACAAGAGACAGAGAAAAGATACTTGGGAGGGCTGACAGTCGAGACTGCAGCCCTGGTTTATTTTAGCTCCGCCTTTTTATACAGAAGAACATCAGAGATCTTAACTCAATTAACTTCAACAGCTGTTTTTCCCACCTGTATCTGAGGCGTGAGCTCCACCATATAAACACATTCCTCCTGACTTGGCAGATTAGGTACTGGTGTGCAAAACACAAACTCAGTAAACAAGCCTGCCACAGCTCAATGTACATAATGGATTAATAGCTCCCAACAGCCTGGCATTTCTTTCTTTTAAAAAAAATATTATTTTTTGTGTGAGTGTATTGCGTGCATGTATGTAAGTGTACCTGTGTCCTACAGTGCCCAAGGAGATTAGAAGAGGGCATTGGATCACCTGGAACTGGAGTTATGGGTGGTTGTTAGATGCCATGTGGGTGCTGGGATTCAAACCTGGGTCTTCTTCAAGAACAGCTAGTGCTCTTAATCACTGAGCCATTTCTCCAGACCCAACATCCTGTATATATATATATATATAGACAGTCTCCCTGTAGCCCCATCTGGCCTGGAACTCAATATGTAGACCAGGCTGGCCTTGAACTCACAGAGATCTCTGCCTCCTGAGTGCTGGGATCAAAGGCATGTACCACCACACCTGGCTGACATCAGTATTTTAAAAAATATTTTATTAATTTTTTTATTTTATGCGTATGAGGGTATTGCCTACATATGTGTTGTGCAATGCCCTCGGAGGTCAGAAGGCGCCAGATCCTCTGGAACTGGAGCTACAGATGGTTGTTAACCACCATGTGCTTGCTTGGAATTGAACCCAGGTCCTCTGCAAGAGCAGTCATTGCTCTTAACCGCGGAGTCATCTCTCCAGCCCAACATCAGTATTTTGTAAACCCAAGTAAGTGTCCAAGGACTTACTGTTTGAGGGCCTGCTACCACTTAGAGACAACTCCAACTTTTTTTTGGAAGAGGCCATATGAGGGATATGTCCTTATTCAGAGGGTAGCTCCTTTCTATATGAGGACCCAGCTTTGCTCCCCTCCAGAGGACCCAGTGTGTAATATACTATCTTGGACACTAGACACCAGACGCCAGACATATACACCTTGACTTTAGACTTCCTACCTAGCCTTTAGGAATATGAACTAATAAATTTCTGTTCTTCACGTTACCCAGTCTCAGGTCCTTTATTATAGCAATGCAAAATGGACCAAGACAACTTTTCTACCTTAGCCTCTTTGCTGTTCTCTCCACATCCACCTTTCTGACATGCAGAGTAGACTGTGTTTTACCTCTGATTCTTTTCATGGCCTCTCAAAACTCTCAGCTCAAACATCTGAAGACAGCCTGATTCTTGCCTATTTTCCCAGCCCTAGTCCCTAAGTCGAGCCCACTCATCATAGCTCCCTGGGATGCTGTATCATGTTTCCTCTGCCTGGGATCCCCCCACCCAACCCTTCTTCAGACTCCTTGTTCATTAAATTCAAACTGCAGATAGGGCTTTAAGGTCTTACATGAGTGAGAGCCTGGGTTTCATCCCAGCAACAAGAAAACTCACAAAAAGACAAAATCAAAACCAAGACCAACTATTAACAACAAGAAAAAACAAAAAGCAAAACAATAAAAAATGGCTAGAGAGATGGCTTAGTGGTTAAGAGTTCTGGCTATTCTCACAGAGGACCTAAGTTTGGTTCCCAGCACCCACGCGGGAGCTACTGCCTGTAACTCCAGTTTCAGGGATCTGACACCCTCTTCTGACCTCCACAGGCATTGCACACATGGGTGCACTTACATACATGCAGGCAATACACTCATACACATTAAAAAATAACTAAAATATGCAAAGCAAAGCAAAGCAAAGCAAAGCAAAGCAAAGCAAAGCAAAGCAAAGCAAAGCAAAGCAAAGCAAAGCAAAGCAAAGCAAAGCAAAGCAAAGCAAAGCAAAGCAAGGGAAACCCTGTCTCAAAAAAGCAAAGCAAAGCAAAGCAAAGCAAAGCAAAGCAAAGCAAATTAATTAGTGGGAAACCCTGTCTCAAAAAAGCAAAGCAAAGCAAAGCAAAGCAAAGCAAATTAATTAAACAAAACAACAAACCCAAAAGGATTAGGCCTGTGTCATCTCTTCCCAGAAACCTCTCATTTTCCTCAATCTAAGTAGTACCCCTCCTCAGGCTTCTCAGGTTACCTAACACCTAACATGCTAAGTTGTGATCCGGCCTCTGTCTCTTGAGGACAGGTGCTGCTGGCCCCACCATCCCCTTGCTGCCCAGTTTCTGGTAGTTCCCAGTTCTTAGAATGATAAATGAATAATTCTAAGCTTATTTGTTTGTAAGAAAATCTCGTATAGCCCAGACTGACCTCAAACTCACCATGTAGTGGAAGACTGATCTTGAAGCCCTAGTCCTCTTCCCTCCCCGCCAAAGTGCTGGAATTACAGTTTCAGTTTTGGTTCTTGTGTTTGAACATCTCTGACAAGTATGTAAAGTCCTTTGGTGGCCAAAGGCAGCCATTTCTTTCACCCTGCTGCCTCTGCTAGGATGGAACAATGGGAATCTGGGAATCGCTGCTGTTTGCCTCTTGGTAACTGAGATTGGGTGAGTTTTCTGGAGACTACAGTGGCTGACCGGATTAAACGTCTTCAATTCTACTCAGTTATCCTAAAGCAAGTTGCAGAGAGCCTGGAGAGCTCGCTTAGTGATTGAGCGCACTAACTGTTCTTGCAGAGTATCCGGGTTCAATTCCCAGCACCCGCATGGCAGCTAACAACCGCCTGTAACTCTGACGGCCTTCTGACCTCCACGGGTGCACTTACATACATGCAGGCAATACACATAAAATAAAAATAATAAATACAAATATCTTAAAAACCCCTTTCTTAAAAGCAAGCTGAGCTGCAGAGATCCTGTGTTCTGCTCCTAGCACGCATTTCTAGACGATGAGGGCGGACTCGGTTCTTCACAGCATCTTGAAAGGCAGGTGAGGTTTCCTCCCTCTGGCCCTGGGCCAAGGAAGAAAAGCAAGTGCAGCCGGGATATCCTGGAATGCTGGTATCAGCTGGAAGGAAGTTCTGCTCAGGCACGTGGCCTGCCGCACGCAGGTTGGAGCCTGCAGTGGGGACAGCTCTGGAGGACCTGCGGCTGCCCAGGGATGATCCTGAGGATGGGGCTGCTCCAGTGGCTGACGTTCCTGGCCCTCTGGGGAGTATCAGGGGCTGAACCAGGTAGGGCGGCAGGCAGGCCTGCTCTGTCTTTGTTTTGTACTATGAACTGGGGTGGGGTCTGGGCTGCTAGAAGCTGCTTGGTGGAAGCTGTAAGTACTGCTAAAAATAGCAAAGCGCTCGGGGTTGTGGGGGGTGAAAAAAATAGCAAGGCAAATTAGAGTTAAAAGAGTTAGACAGCCATCAAAGGTATAGTTTGTGGCCTAGGGATACACCTCAGTTGGTGTATAGTGAGTTCAATGGCAGCCTAATATGCATGAAACACTGTCTCAAAAAGAGAAAAAAAAATGCAGTTTGAGCCAGAAGACTTTAAATGGGAGCAGCAGCAAGCCAGGGGCAGGACACTGACTTTGCCAGCGGAACACTGACTAGGGTCTGGGACAGAAGAGCCAGCCACTGGTGGAGGGAGCAGATTCATGAACTTCATTAAACGGTTGGTTGAAGGCTGGGGTGTAGCTCAGTGGTACCGTGCTTGCCTAACATGCACAAGGCCCCAGGTCCCATCCCTGGCACTGCAACAAAGAAACAAAAACATTGGTTAAGGGCCAGTGAGACGGCTCAGTGGGTAAAGGTGATTGATGCCCAGCCTGACAACTTGAGTTCAAGTCCCTGAACCTACATGGAGAAAGGAATAAACTGACTTCTGCAAGTTGTTCTAATACACACATTCCATGGCTTTTGCCCTCCTCATAGATAAATGTAAATAAAATAAGAATGAAAACATTAGTTAAAACTCTTCTCTGCCCCATGGGTTATTCTAGGAACCAGGAAGAAGGCAGAAAAGAAAGTTCAGGTCCTCACAGAACATTCCTTCACCTGGGAAGAAGCAAACAGCAATCAAAAAGAAAACCCCAATAAGTGAGAGAGAAAAATGCATAGTATTTCGGAGATAATTAGTGGCACAGATAGAAAAAAATAGAACAGGGAGGTGGGGCGTATGGGGTGGGCAATGTGCACAGAGTGGCCAGAGGCTTATCTAAGTGCCTTCTAAGTGTCTTCTACTTCACCACTTGCTTTAAAAACATTGTTGTATAAGCAAGGCGTGGTGGCGCACACCTGTAGTACCAGCACTTGGGAGGCAGAGGCAGGTGGATCTCTGTGAGTTGGAGACCAGTCTGGTCTACATAGTGAGTTCCAGGCCAGCAGGGGCTATAGGGAAACCCTGTTTCAAAAAGAGCAAAAAAAAAAAATGTTGCTTATTTTCTTTTTGAGGCCAGGTCTAGAAAGGTAGCCCAGACTAGCCTTGAACTCGTGATCCTCCTGCCATGGCCTTCCAAGTGCGGGAATTTCAGGTGTGTGTGTGTGTGTGTGTGTGTGTGTGTGTGTGTGTGTGAGAGAGAGAGAGAGACAGGGTCTCCCTGTAGCCCTGCCTGGCCTAGAACTCACTGTATAGACAAGACTGGCCTGGCCTTGACCTCACAGAGATCTGCCTGCCTCTGCCTCATAAGTGCTGGGATTAAAGGTTACTTTTATTTATTTAGTTTTAATTTTATCTGTATGGGTGTTTTGCCTACGTGTATGTAAGTATACCACATGTGTGCAGTGCCCACAGAGGTCAGAAGAGGGTATTGGATCCCTTATAACTGGAATTACAGATGATTGTTAGCCCTTATATGGGTGCTGAGAACAGAACCTGGGTCCTCTGCAGGAGCATCTAGTGCCCTTAACCAGTGAGCCATCTCTCCAGCCCCTCTTTCACTTTTAAAATGTTTTCTTAGGGGCTTGTGTGGAGGCCAGAGGACAACTTCTAGGTCTCAGTTCTCTCCTTCCACCATGTGGAGCCTGGGGATTGAACCCAGGTCATCAGGCTTGGTGGCAAGTTATCTACTGGCTGGATGATGAACTTCCTCCTCCTCCTCTTCTTCTTCACATGAAATCTCAGGAAGCTCACTATGTTGCCTGTGCCCCCTGGCCTTGCCTTGAACTCCTGGACTCAAGTGATCCTCTTGCTGTCTCCTAGGTAGCTGGGACCACTGGCACATACCATCATACCTTGGCTTCATTTGATTTGGGGCCCCAGTAGAGTAGGTACTATCACATTCATTTTACAGATGAGGAGAAAGAGACCCTTGAAGGACACATCCCGAAATCCCACCAGCAGGTCAAACTCTGTGGAAAGCTGCCTTAAACTTCATGCCTTCCTGGTGGATTTTTTTTAGGGACTATCTTTTATATTTTCTTCAACTTTGCTGGAATGAACACATATATAGTTTTAAAACAAAAGTAAATTTTAAAAAGTATTCTGGGTAGGGGGCCTTGAGAGATGGCTCAGCGGTTAAGAGCACTGGCTGCTCTTGCAGAGGATCTGGGTTTGGTTTCCAGCACTCACATGGCAGCTAACAACTGTCCATAACTCAAAGTCCAGTGGATCTGACATCCTCTTCTGTCCTCTGTGGGCATTGTACGACATAGGTGCACATACAGACTTAAAAACTTAAAATAACAAATAAAAACCAGGCATGGTGGCACATGCTTTTAATCTTAGCACTTAGGAGGCAGAGGCAGGTGGATCTTTGTGAGTTCAAGGCCAGCCTGGTCTACATAGTGAGTTCCAGGCCACCTGGGGCTACAGGGGAGACCCTGTCTCAAAATGACTGAAAAAATAAATAAATGAAATATTTAAAAAAGAAATAATGATTTATGGGTGTGTTAGTTACTTTTCTGTTGCTGTGATAGAAACACTGACCAAAGCAATTTATAGAAGGAAGAGTTTATTTGAGCTTACAGTTCCGGGGAATTACAGTTGGTCACAGCAGGGAGGCATGGTGGCTGGAGGTGGCTGGAGCAGGAGCAGGAGCAGCAGAAGCTAAGCTCTCACATCGTCATGCAGGCACAGGAAGCAAGAAAGCAACTGGAGATCTGGCAAGGCTTAAGAACTCTCTAAGCCCACCCCCAGTGACATGCTTCCTCTAGGATAGCCACACCTTCTAAAACCTCCCAAAACAGCACCACCATCTGGGGACAAAATGTCCCTACGTGGGACATTTTCATTCAAACCACCACATTCCACCCCCTGGCCCCTGTTGGCTCATGACCATATAAAATGCAAAGTGCATTTAGTCCAATTTAAAAGTCCCCATAGTCATTATCAGTCTCAATACTATTCAAAAGTCCACAGTCCAAAGTCTCTTCTTACACTCAGTTAAATATCTTAACTGTAAGCCTCTATAAAATCAAAAGACAAATTACATACTCCCAGCATACAGTGGCACCAAATACACATTACCATTCCAAAAGGGAGGAATGGAGGCACAGTAAGGAAATACCAGACCAAACAAGACTGAAAACCAGCAGGGAAAACACCAAATCCAGTAGCTCCATGTCCAACTTCTGGGACTTTACTTCCGAAGGGCTTAGATGGCTCAGCCTCTCTAGCTTTGCTGCGAGCAACACACATCTCTCTCTTGTGTTGGTACCACTCCCTGTGTGCAGGTCTTCTTGGCAGATGCTTCACAGCTCTTTTGGGGGGTCTTTTGGGGGGTCTCCATTGCTAACCAGGCTTCACCTTCACAGCTTCATGCAATGGCCTATCAGTGTCTTCTCTAGACAGGGAAGCCCCTGCTGCATGCTGCCTGGCCTCCGAGGATCTCTCTGAAACTGCGGAGGAAGAATTGATGACCCCTTCACTCTTGCATCTTTCATGTCTCTAAAGCCAGCACCAGGTGAATGACACTGCCAAGTTTGACTGCAAGTTTGGGATGGACCCCAGCTTGCTTTGTCCATTTTAGAAGATTTTTTCTTCAGTGGCCCTTGCAGCATTTTCCTTTCTTGAGTTGGAGGCTTAACTGGGTGTCGTCTTGCCTTTAGTTTAAGTCTCAGTCTCTAGGCCCCTCCTTAATCACTTTAATCTCCTTTCTCCTTATCAAAGAGCACATGCCAAGGTGCCAACATTTATCTTCCTAGTTCTCTTTTTCATCCAAACTGTATTTCTTTTTGCCCCATTTGCTCATTTTTACTGTAGATCTGCATAATATTCACAATTAATATCCATGCCACCATTTCTACATTAGGCTGTCTTGAAATTTCTTCTGCCAGAGAAATCATTTCATTGCTTTTCAACTTAGCCTCAGACAAGCTTTTAGGTTGAGGGCAGATGCCAGCCAGACTCTTTGCCAAAATAAATATCTCAAGTGCTGTTTAAGTCCTTATTTCCCTCTGGAACTACATGGTTCTCAGCACTGCTTTATTCTAGGTGTTTACCAGAATGGTCTGTTAAGCTCCCCTTACAGCAGTCAACTGCTTTTCTAGCCCAAACTTCCAAAGTCTTCCACATTTCTTCAAAACCCCACATGGTCAGGTTCTTCACAGTCAACAGCCCACTCTCTGGTACCAATTACTGTGTTAGTCACTTTTCTGTTGCTGTGATAGAAACACTGACCCAAGAAATTTATAGAAGAAAGAGTTTATTTGAGCTTACAGTTCCAGGGGAATTATAGCCCGTTATGGTAGGGAGGCATGGTGGCTGGAGGTGGCTGGAGCAGGAGCAGCAGAAGCTAAACTCTCACATCATCACCAGGCACAGGAAGCAAGAGAGCAACTGGAGATCTGGCAAGGCTTAAGAACTCTCTAAGCCCACCCCCAGTGATGTGCTTCCTCTAGGATAGCCACACCTCTAAGACCTCCCAAAACCACCATCATCTGGGGACAAAATGTCCAAATACTTGGAGCCTGTAGGGGACATTTTCATTCAAACCACCACAATGGGTAATAGTAACTCATGAATAATAATGAAGATTAGATTACTTTTTGTTTTATTTTTAAACTATTTAATTTTAATTTTATGTATGTGTTTTGCATGCATGTATGTAAGCACACCATGTACATGCAATGCCTGTGAAGGTCAAAAGAGGGTGTCAACCCCCTGGAATTGGAGTTATAAATTGTTGTTAGCTACCATGTGGGTGCTGGGAACCAAACCCAGGTCCCTCTGCAAGAGCAGACAAGTGCTCTTAACACTGAGCCATCTCTCCAGTTCCATGTTTGTTTGTTTGAGACAGGGCCTT